GAGAAAGAAAAACCAAGTTGAAGGTGTTATACTATCTGATATCAAACTATACAACAAGGAAACAGTAATCAAAAAAGAATGGTATTGCCACAAAAACAAACATATAGATCAATGGAACAGAATAGAGTGGTTGGAAATAAACCCACACTTACAAAGTCAATATTTCACAAAGCATGCAAGATCATACAATGGGTAAAGACAGCCTATTTAATAAATGTTGTGGGAAAATGAGACAGATATGTGCAAAGAAATGAAGCTAGACCACCTTCTTACATCATATAAAAGAATAAATTCAAAATGGACTAAAGACGAAAATGTAAGTCTCAAAACTATAAAAATCCTAGAAGAAAACAAAGGCAGTAAAATCTCTGACATTTCTTTCAGTAATGTTATTTTTCTGATTTTCTCTTCAGGCAAGGAAAACAAAATAAAAAATAAAAAAATGGGATTATATCAAGCTAAAACTTTTTGCACAGCAAAGGAAACCATCTACAAAATGAAAAGATAACCCACAGAATGGGAGAACATATTCACCAAAGGTACACCTAATAAAGGGTTAATATTCATAATTTAATAAAACAACCTCCTACAAAGCAACACCAAAAAACCAAACAACCCAGTTAAAAAAATGGATAAAGTACCTAAATAGACAGCTCTCCAAACAGGAGACATAGATGCCCAATAGACATATGAAAGATGCTCAACATCACGAATCCTCAGAGAAATGCAAATTAAAACTACAATGAGATATCACCTGTCAGAAGGGCTATCATCAATAAATCAATAAACAAGTTTTGTTGAGGATGTGGAGAAAAGGGGACCCTTGTGCATTGCAGATTGGTGCAGCAACTATGGAAAACAATATGGAAGTTCCTAAAAAAAAATTCAAAATGGAACTTTTTTTATGACCTGTGATTCTATTTCTGGGTATGTATAGAAGAAACCCAAAGCACTCATATGAAAGGATAAATGCACTTCCATGTTTTCTGCATTGCTATTTAAAAAAGCCAAGAGTGGATAAAATAGGAATGGTCCATATAAACAATGGGATATTACTCTGCCATAAAAGAGAAAGAAATCTTACATTTGTGACAGCATGGTTGGATCTAGTGAATATTAGGCTTAGGGAAATAACTCAGGCAGAGAAAGACAAATACCATCTGATTTCACTTATATGTAGAATCTAAAGAACAATATAAACTAACAAAACAGAAACAGACTTACAGATACAGAGGGCAGACTGATGTCTGCCAGAGGGGAGAGGAGTTGGGGGACTGGGTGAAACAGGTGAAGGGACTGAGAAGTACACATTGGCAGTTACAAAATAGTCACAGATTGTAAAGTGCAGCATAGGGAGTATAGTCAATAGTATTGCAATAACTGTATGGTGCCAGGTGGGTACTAGACTTATCAGGGGAATCACTTCGCAAATTATATGAATGTCTAACCACTGTGCTGTACACCTGAAACTAATACAAAATAATATTGAATGTAAACTGTAGTAGAAAAAGGTGAAAAACTTAAATAAAAGAAATAAAGTTATTTCAGAGGACTGAAATTCAATAAATAAAGCAGCATGTGTATGAGAAATAATTGCAATAAGTTTACTTGTAAAACAATAAAGTACTTATATTAAAAAACTATAACATATTTTCAGTAAGATTTATTTCCCTGTAAATTTAGAGAGACAAGAAATTAACCTAATATTTTTTGAATTTTATGGGATTCTTAAAATCATTGCTCCACATTGCTTATCCAATATTCATTAACCCCCCCTTGTACTGTTAAAGGAACCTTGAACTGAGTCTGAAAGTAGTAACTACCCAACGCTTTCTATATTCTTCTATCAACACATGCAAATAACTTTTTTCACAATTTTATAACATAAAAAAGCAATTTGTTTAGGTCTAGATAATTCTTTTACTTTGTTTTTTGGAATGTGAAATTGAGGAGAATATGATTCTGATTAAGCTACCTAAAACTACACTTCAACATTCACTCTTTCTCAATGCATGAGTGAAATCTGAACCAAACATTAGGTTTTCTGCAGAGTACAAAAGCCTTATTCATTATTTCTAATTCTCTGTTACTTCTAAGTTACTTTCAGGAACTTGCTATACCAATGATTTACTTCCCCTCTCTCTTTTTATTTTTAAGGTCTTTACTTTTCCATGAAGTTTTACCTCTTCCCTTTTGTCTTGCTTTGTGTCACATACATGAGGTCTACCACTTCCAGTTTCAGATCTCTACTGAGGTTGGCATTCGTAACTTGCACTAAAACATCATTGGTGATGTTCTTTTTGAGGCTTCACCACCATAAGACATTTTGTTTGTTTATTTATTTATTTATTTATTTATTTATTTATTTATTTATTTATTTTTACCATAAGACATTTTAAAAGAGAGAGTCCCATCATTTAACAGAAGATATTTAATATTTTCTATATACTGCCCTTACAATACCTGCTCCGTGCACTTGAACTTAGACTGGGGTCCTTGAATGAGGATGCTATTGTGATAATCACCAAAATCCTCAGCAACAATGCTTTCCTCATAGATTCACATTCTTTGAGAGCATAGGATCTTAAATTTATAATAATTTAAAAGTTCTTCATTTCTTTTAACTTTAACACATCACTTACCTTAAAATATAAGTTTCTCAAAATAAATTTTATTTATATTTCCTGACCTGGATATATATACCTTTCTCTAGTTCATGACTTGAGAATAAGGCTTTCATAATGGGGGATTTAATAGTAGCATTTCTTTTGGAATTATATATATATATATATATATATATATATATATATATATATAGAGAGAGAGAGAGAGAGAGAGAGAGAGAGAGAAAGGAATGGTAACATACAGATTAAAGACTGAACACAGCTGGCCTCCCAGAAGCAGTCTGTGTGCACCTTCTAATTACCAACCTTACCCTTAAGAGGAAAATATTACTCTGAAATTGTGAAAATTATTTCCTTATGTACTCATAATTGTGAATTTCAGAAAAATAAAATTTTATTTATTGGTTTTATTTCTTTTGATATATATTTCATATGATTCACCATTTTCTTTTTAAAAATTTTAAAAATTAAATCGTTATTATTGAAAGAATTAAATATATTCCTTTTTTTGTGTGTAATTATACACACCCATTAAGAGGGTTATGATAAAAAATTTAGAAAATATCAAGTGTTGGTGTGGATGTAGGAAAGTTGGAACCCTGTGCATTGCTGTTGGAAATGTAGAATATTGCAGCCACTGTAAAAAACAGTATGGTGGTTCTTAAAAAAATTAAAAATAGAATTATAGCCCTAACCGGTTTGGCTCAGTGGATAGAGTGTCAGCAATGTGATCCAGAAATTCAAAAGAATAGAAAACAGGAATTGGAACAGATATTTGTACACCAATATTCATAGCAGTATTTTTCACAATAGCCAAACGTGGAAACAATTCAAATGTATATTGATGGATGACTGGATAAACAAAATGTGGTATACACATACAACGAAATATTATTCAACCTCATAAAGAAAGGAAATTCTGATATATACTACAACATGATAAAATGGTCAAGTTTATTTAGAGAAAAAGTAGAATGGTGTTTGTCAGGGACTGGAGGGAGGATGGGAATGGAGTTATTTTTTAATGGGTACAGAGTTTCAGTTTGGGATGGAAAACATTTTGGAAATGGATGGTGGTGATGGTTGCACAACAATGTGACTGTGCTTAATGTCACTGAGACATAGACTTAAAAATGGCTAACATGGTAAATGTCATGTTATCCATATCTATATATATAAAAGGCTAATATGCAAATTGTCCCCTTGGATGGTTATTCAACTAGAAGTCCAACTACTTGCTATGATGTGCACTAACCACCAGGGGATGGTGCAGAATGAAGGAAGGCCCCGGCCGGCAGCCAGCAGCCGGCAGCTGGGGAAGGGAAGCCCTGATCTGCAGCTGGCGGCTGGGGAAAGGAGGCCCCAGCTGGCAGTGAAGGCCCCCGCCAGGCCTAGGGACCCTACCTGTGCACGAATTTTGTGCACTAGGCCTCTAGTTTACCATAATAAAATAAGTAAGAAAGCAAGAAAGGTAAGAATGCCTAATATCTGGAACTGTGTAAGATGTAGAAAACTAATAATTTAAGCAAAAAGAATGCTCAACCTGGACTAAACTCGGTTCCCAAAGTTTGGGCATGGAGATGAGAGTTTCAAGACCAGATCATATAAATCATACTCCTAGTTCAAATGTATTTGGGGCTTACTGTGTGGCACATATTAGCCTAAGTGTTTTACATGCATTAACTCGTGGGTCCTCTCAACAGCCTATTTTGTGGTTACTAAAGGATTACATTCTACTAGTATGTAAATGGGAAATATTGTGGCATTAATATATTACTAAAATCTCAGTTAACCTCCAAAGTCTCCTATAAGAACAACAACCCAAATTAAAATGTTATCAATAAACATAATCCACCAGCTTGAGCATGAAGTGGTTTAAATTGTATTTTTGCTCTTGCCAAAGGGAGGTGCCTACAGGGAAGTGAGGCCCGTTAACCAGCCAATGCTCTCCATCTCTCCTTTCTCACTGATATTCGCCCAAATAAGAGCAGAGTGTGGGGACTTCCAGGGCACACACTGCGGTTTCCTGTTGCTGCTCTCACTTCTGACTTCTGTCTCTTTTCAACCTACAGTTTCTATCTAATCTAGGGAAGAAAGTGGGGAGGAAACCTCTCAAATCATTCTGCATTTGTCACAAATCTAATACTTATGATAAAAATTTCACTTTTATTCTCAAAATCCAATTTTGTATTTAAAATACTTCATTTCATTTTTTTGTCTCTTCCACAGATTTTTGAATTCTATTTTAAAATAAAAAACCTAAATATTGTCCCTTGCTCATTTTTTGGATATAAAAAACATTACACTGAGGGGAGAAAGTTTGCACTATCCTCACTGATACCTAAATGGGTAAGGAGAGAGAGAACAAAATGGAAGTACAGAAAGGAAGAAAACATGTTTATTATGTTACAATATCATTTGGACACGTTGACTGTGTGTTATTAACATGACCTGAGAAAGAGGTTAAATGAGCTGAGACGTCTGCTAACATTCCAGCATGAGGTCTCCCATACTTATCCATTTAGAGAAAATTATACTCTAAACAAAGATACCCAGGAAAGAGATATAATTTTTTTCAGTACAGATATTGAGTTAGGGTCACTAAGAACCAGGTGGCTGGGCAGAACGGCCCAGGTTTTTCTGTGAAAGGTAGGAGATGAATGAAGACTGAGTAGGAAGAATTCACAAAGGTCAGTGGTCTCTGAAGGAAAAATTGGCCACAAGTTCCACTCAAGCGGGGAGACGAGGAGGCTGAGGAAGGAGCAGGGAGCAGGTCTAGGTCATACATCAAGGCCAAGACAGGGAGCTGAGTCTGAACCATTCCTCTTCTTTCTTATGAAGACCGATGACCTGAAACAGGAAACAGCACGAGATTGGTGGGTCCTCCGTTCCTGTCCCAAGGCCAACCCATTCTTCAATTTTCCCACAAATTTTCAAACACATTTATGTATCCTGGGTGCCAATCCTCCCCCGCCGACTTCACTACCTGCAGAAACATCACCCCAGATCTGTACACCTGATTCCTACCTTCCCATTTTCCAGGCTGAGACTCAAGTGGTCCTCCAGCTTCTGGAGGCAGCCCCTGCGTGCAGCCGGCGGATGGTTAGCACGGAGCCCGCCACGATGCCCACGAGGCCCACGGCCAGCCCCAGGGCACAGACCACAGTCTCTGTCAGCTCCGACATGGGGGCTGGAATCTCAGGCTCTGAGAAAAAGGAAGCTCACAGGGTCAAAGGGCACTGTATGCCGGGTGTATAAGGGGACCGATGTGTGTGTTTGGAAATGCACAGGACATCTGGACTTTGGGAGAAGGGTATAGTCAATTATTAGAAAACTTACAGTTGTGGGAAATAAACCTGTGGCCCTGGGGGTTTAGGGCTCTAAGGCAAGACCATGTGACGTGGGACAGAACTGGAAGGTGTAGGGACAATGAAGGGATGCGGCGTACCCCAGTGCTTGAGGAGCGGCTCTTCCAGGCCCCAGTGCGCCACCCTGCAGTCGCAGAAATCCTCAGCGGAGGGAAGAAAAGTGAGGTAACTGAGCTTGAGGAAAGAGTGGTCACTCTTGGGGTAGAAGGTTGTCTCAGCAACGCCTTCGGCAACGGGGTGTCCGTTGTATAACCAAGTGATGTTGATCACAGGAGGGAAGATGTTGTCCACCAGACAGATGAGGGTGTTGGGAATACCCAAGGTCACGGGAGATTTGGGAAACACAGACACTTCAGGAATTTCTACAACGAAGACAAAACACTGGTTTGAATTTGGGACACCCGTGTCCTGAGTTTCTTAATTAGTTCGGGTGGCCCTCCCGGTCCCAGCTCCCCAGCTGTTAGTGGGTATTTCCTGTGTCTTTTCAGACTCATTTTACAGTAAGCAACAGCTTCCCCCTTTCCACCTGTTTATTAGATCATTTCATTCACTGTTTCTTTTTTTATGGGCAGGACTGTCCAAAACTTCTACCTTGCCTTTCCCATCTTCTGAATGAGGAAGGTTACTGTGATCTGTGTGACTTCAGAGGGGTGCCATCATCTTCACCTCACATTCTGAACCGTCCTCTTCCTTTGAATCACTGTGAAGCTCAGAACACTTTCCTGTCTTTGGGAACGCACAGGACACTGTGTGTGTGTGTGTGTGTGTGTGTGTGTGTGTGTGTGTGTGTGTGTGCGCACACTTCTTAGGCTAAGAAGTTGGGAACGTCCTCTTATTGGATTATAAGGAGTACTTTATGGAACCAGGAGGAGGGATGCTTAAAGAGTAAATGGATATGATGGGGCCAGGGTATCTGGTAGGAGATGAAATGGAAAGGGAAGGATTTATGGTATGCTGGGAAGAGCAGCTCTTCCAGGGAAAAGGGAGGTGAGACCTGGGATGTGAGAAGAGAGACAGAACTGGGGACACTCACCATTGGTGGCAGGTGTGAAGTTGGAATCTTTTATCAAGGTGTCCAAATTTCTTTTTGCCACAACAATGTTTTGCAGGGCATTCTGCGTTTCAAACTTGGTGAAATTGCTAAACTCAGGCAGCCGCCACACCGTTTCCCTCGTTTTCAGGTCCACGTAGAACAGCTCATCGCCGTCAAATTCATATGTGAACTGGCCAGAGGCGCCATACGTCTGGTAAACATTCGTGCCATAAGTGCCCACGTGGTCGGCTGGTGAGTGGCCATTCCGGAGCAAGGAGATATGAATGGGAAGGTGGAATATAGAGGGAGGGGAAAAGCTTTATTATACAAAAGCACAAGAAACTCTATTCCATAGTGTAGGTTACATTGGCATGGTCTGCTATCAGTCCCTGTTTCTGTGTTATGTACCTTAGGGTATCGAGATGTGAGCTCTTCACGTGACCTCCTAACAACTTTCAGGCACATACATTGTCTTCCCATGATACTGTGTACTCCAGGAGGCATTGGGATGCTATGACTTGTTCCTGGTAGAGTCATGGTACATAGTAAGAATTCAGTCATATTTGGTAAATAAAAATAAATAAGTGCATTTAATTCTTAAGCTTATCTCTAATCACTTAATCTCCCCATACTGTCTTACCCTTTCAAAGCATTCATCTTATTCTAACACACCATGGAGTTTATTTACTGATTGAATATATTTTTAAATTATCTGAGTTCTTTATGGGTAAGAACCTTGGTTTATGCTAAGCACCAGAGGAGTGCTTCAGACACACTCAGTGTCTGTTGAACTAATGAATCTCATTTGGAAAATGTTAGGAGATTCCACTGTATTCTATATCTCTTTATTTCCCTCTGTTTTGCTGTAGGTCTCAGTAACTGTTGTCATTGCCATGACAAAGCAGGCAAAGTTCTGGCTTGGAGACTGATAGGTAGAGGAACGAGCCCTAGACCAGGAAGGTGTGTGAAAAGTAGATGGAGAGCAGGGGGGTGAATGAGCCAGGTAATGGATCTGTTTTTACCTCTTTTTAGAGCTTTACTGGCTAGAGGCGACAGGCCTGCTGGTTTGGGCTGATGCGCTGAGACTAACCTGCTTGAAGTCCCTGGGTTTTCCATCATGCATCATCCCAACTTTGTGGAACACACGGGAAGTGACACTCAGAATAATCGTGCTGTACCCGGCACTTATATAGGTCTCTGTTTTTTTTTTTTTTTTTTTAAATATTTTATTGTTTTTTTACAGAGAGGAAGGGAGAAGGATAGAGAGTTAGAAACATCGATCAGCTGCCTCCTGCACACCCCCTACTGGGGATGTGCCCGCAACCCAGGTACATGCCCTTGACTGGAATCGAACCTGGGACCCTTCAGTCCGCAGGCCAACGCTCTATCCACTGAGCCAAACCAGTCAGGGCATAGGTCTCTGTTTTTAAAATACACATCTGTGTACTTATTTTATTTGATCACATGTTCTTTAGAACAATGAGTCAATCAATTAATTTTACATATGAGGAATCTGGAGATCAATGTAATGAATTGACTTGCTTAATGCCATCCAATTAATTCGTTTTATTTTTCCAATTGCAATTATCTTCAATAAAGTTTATCCTCCTCATTTTCTGAGCCCAAACCCAGAGTATGAATTATGTTGAGAACAAAAAATGAATGACTTGCTACTTTACATGTGGCACAAAACATTTATGGGGATGGTCATTGTAAGAAACTGGACAGCTAAAATGCAATAACCAATAGCTTTGAAGGAGTTTTGAGTGAGTTGGAAGTAGCAGGCTCACAAACTGCTGCTAAAGAAAAGCAGTATGTTGGAGAAATATACCTACTGCGAGTTAAGGCCACAACAACGTCCAGGCGGTGGTGGTTGTGACACTGGAAAGGGATCAGGGCCCTGGTGACCACTGCAGTCACCGGGACAGCGTGACATCTAGCTCAGTCTATAAGCTGAGCACAGGTTTGGGCTGGGGTTTGGTTTCTGGGAGGGAAAATAAGCATAAGAATTCCGATGGGAGGGAACTGGGTTTCATGACCGCTAAGTCTAAACAAAAAGGTTCTTACACTTCTTCCTAAATCCACACCCTCACCGAGCACTCACCCCTGATGTCTCCACCTCCGCAGGGGCTCAGCATGGAGGCCAGAGCCAGGGCCCCTAGAATCAGAGCTTCCGCGGGGGTCATCCTCCTCCCAGGTCTCCTCAGAAGTGGCTGCTCTGAGTGGCGCAGGGAGGAGACGGTGCAAAGAAATGATCCAGACAGGAGAACAGGAAGGAAGCACCAGGGGGAGCCAGACCTCGCCCGCGGGTCACCGCAGCCTGTCAGGAGTTCCCGGAGCTGACACCCCATTGCCAGCTGAAGCGCTTTTAGAAGAGATATGGCAGGACTCTGGGAGGTTCCCTAGGGGCACAGGCTCCCCGGGGAGCAGAGGGAGCCTTTCTCTATAGATGGAGGGAGAGGGGAGAAACAGAAGCCTCTCCACTCTGACAGAATGTGTGGGGCGGGTGTGCACCCAAGGGGCTGCTGGGTCACCTCAGGGGTGGTCCCTGGGCAGGGTCCTTTGCATTATATTGTTACTGCCTCTGGGACGTCTGCCCTTGCCGGCTGCGCCCCACTCCCCACCCACACACCACTGTGTTTTAGGTGATTGGGATCCAGGAGGAGCACAAGAGACAAAAGTTCTGCATTTAGGAAACTTCCTGTATTTTGGATCAGCTCTGTTCTCAAAAAGACCTCCTCTAGTGGGAGCCAATTAACATCCCTCCCCCCCCATCCCGCCTCCCTGTTGTACTCCTTTAAGCAAGTTCTTCTCTCACTTTCTCAAAAGCACCCTAATTTTAAACGCCTGTATTTTCAAACATTGATGACATCCTATTGCTGTAAGTCACGTGCAGTGCACACTAACAGCGGGCCCTGCTCCCCTCCCGGCACCTTCTGCTCTCTGCACTGTGGCCTGCAATGGCTGCCTGTCTGAGCCGAAGCTGCGGCCATGACGCACACCCAGGAGAACCGCCTGGGTTATCTAGACTGTGGGTCCTGAGTGTGGCTCCACCTGTGCAGGGCTGGCCCTGGAATTTTGGCAGAGATACTAGGAGCTGCTGGTGGTCTCATGTCTCCTGTTTCCACTGACATGTGTCCGTGAACCTGGAGGTGTTTTCTGGTTCCATTAGAATCTACCCCGTTTACCACGAAGCCTCCAACTCCGCACAGAACACAGTTTTTCCTCATATCGTTCTAAGCTGCACTGCATCCCGGAGAAGTGTCCTGAGACGCTGGCGGCAGACCGAACACTTTGTTTGCAGACATTAGGTTTCACCTATAATGATCTTCTTACTCATTTTAATCCATTTAGTGGGCTCGAGTTTTAAAGGCACAGGATCAGGGCACCATCAAACAGTAAGAGCCCGGTTTCAGAGGTCGAATGGGATAAAGGGAAGTCCAGGCCAAGTCCTGCCACCTGGCAATGGACAGATGTGTGTGTGTGTGTGTGTGCGCGCATGTGCACATGTCAGGGGAGGTTGGGAAGGTTTGTTACTCTGACTTTCTGCCTGCCCCCCTGTTTCATCGATCTGTTACACATTTAGTCATTTAATTTAGAATGTTGTAATTCAATTTCATGTTACGTTAATTATCGCTGTTTCCACAGTGAGGATTTTCTGGGACCTCCTGTAACAGCACTCAAGTTACTATGTTGGTACAGTAAAAGTCTGTATTTTTTAACGTGCTTTAAAATTTAAGTTTATCATTAGTTTTATTATTAGTTTGAGGACCTCTCTATAGTCACAAATTGACCACTGTTGAAATCTTATCCTAACGGCAGAGGCTGGAGGGAACTATCGATAATGCACAGACTCTGTAATAAAAAAGACTGAGATTAAAATACTGTATCCTGCCCAGCCAGTGTTGCTCAGTGGTTGAGTGTCGACCCATAAAGCAGGAGATTTAGGTTCGATTCCCAGTTAGGGCACATGCCCGGGGTTTCAGGCTCGATCCCCAGTAGGGGGCGTGCAGGAGGCAGCCAAAGGATGATTCTGTCATCACTGATGTTTCTATCTCTCTCTCCCTCTCCCTCTCCCTCTCCCTTCTTCTCTCTAAAATCTGTAAAGTTTAAAAGAACAAAACAAAACCTTTAAAATACTCGCTCTTATTGTAAGCAATTGCATAACTTCAGACAATTTATGGACATTATTTTAACCCAGCATTCTTAACTGTAAAATGAAAATGGTACGTCTCACCCAGTAATTTGTTAATATTTTAAAACTAAACTACATATGTAAGTATAGTTATTGAATTAGTAGGCATAGGTTAGTTAAAAGATCCTCTTTTCCATCCATGCTGTTGCAAATGGTAGACAACAGGGGGGTGAGGGCATTAGTGGGAGGGGGATGGGGGTAATGTGGGGATAAGGACACATATGTAATAACTTAATCAATAAAGAAATTAAAAAAGATCCTCTGTTTATCCTTTTAAAGTCTGTAGGATCTATAATGGTCCCGCTTTCATTCTCTTATTGCTAATTTTTGTTTCTCTTCTTTCCTTGATTAGCGCTCCTGTGGGCCAGCAGAGAGTGGGCGCCACGGAGTGACTCTCCTGTGTCTGGGGATGACGTGTGTCCCGCCAGCCTGCCTGCATCCCACTCAGGGGCCCTTGGCTCGTTACCCCTGTGTCCAAGGTGGCCACTGTCAAGTGTGAGCTTACGAAGAATTTAACTTCAGAGGAGGCCGTTGGTCACAGTAAGATCTCCATTATAGGGCCTGGGTCTGTTGGCATGGCCTGTGCCACCCGCATCCTAGGGAGGGGCCTGAGTGATGACTGTGCCTTGGTGGCTGCCGCTGAAGGCAAACCAAAGGTGAAACATGGATCTTGAACATGGCAGCCCTTTCCTGAAAATGCCAAATATTGTTGCCAGCAAAGTGTACCTTGTGGAATTTACACTGCAAAATCCGGCCTTGTGATTACTACAGCAGGTGCATGCCAGGAAAGGGAGAAACACACCTTAATTTAGTCCAGTGAAATATGGCATCTGTGACTTAATGATCTATATATATAGGGTGTCCCAAAATTCACGCAAGATTGCAAATCTTGTGTGAATTTTGGGACACCCTATATAAAAGCAAAGCAACCGGAAAGGCACCCCCCCGACCTGACCTTCCCCCTGGTCGTGCCACGCCTCCCCTCCCCCCCATCAGGGGCAGGGCAGACCGGCCAACCACCTATGCACGAATTCCTGCACTGGGCCTCTAGTATCTCTATATTTCCTCCTCTCTCTAGCCTCTGAAAACTACCACTCTACTCTCTGTTTTTATGAATTTGACTACTTTAGATTTCTAATGTAAGTGGTGTTATGCAGTGTTTGTCTTTCTGTATCTGGTTTGTTTCACTCAGCATAGTATCCTCCAGGTTCATCCACATTGTAACAAATGCAGGTTTTCCTCGTCTTGAAAAAAAAGTATCATGTTTTTTTTTTTTTGTTAATCCTTACCTAAGAATTTTTTTCCATTGATTTTTAGAGAGAGAGTGGAAGGGGGGCGGGAGGGTACATGCACATGAGAGAAGGGGGGGGGAGGAGAAAGAAAGAAACATAGATGTGAGGGATACATTGTTTGGTGTGGTTGCTTCCTGCATGTGCCCGGAGGATTGAACCTGCAACCCAGGTACATGACCTTGATCAGGAATCAAACCCATGACCCATTGGAGCCCAGGCCAATGTTCTAACCACTGGTAAGGGCAGTTTTCCTCCTTTTAAAAGACTGAATAGTATTTCATTGTAAAGTATTTACCACATTTTATTTATCCATTAATCTATCAATAGACATTTGGGTTGTTTCCATGTCTTGGCTGTTGTAAATAATGCTGCAAGAACAGAGAGATGCATGTATCTATTCAAATAAACTGATAAATAACATAGAGTCTGAGGCATGGAAACAAGGAACAGACTGACGAATCTCAGAGGGAACGGGGGAGGGGAGGAAAGAAGAGATTAACCAAATAATGTATATGTATATATGCATTGCCCACAGACACAGACAATAGGGTGATGAAGGTCTGGGGCAGGGTGGGAGCCAGGTAGAGGCAGGGAGTGGGAGGAAATGAGGGGACATCTGTAATACTTTCAACAGTAAAGATTTAAAAAAAAAAAAGACAGGATCATACTAAAAGTGAGGACCAAACTAAAACGAAACAAGGGACATTGCAAAATGGCATAAAAAAAGAGCCCAGAGATTGACGACAAGATAAAATAGGTTAACAGGTATCAGTGATTGTACTGGGTTTCCTCTGATGCATAACAGATTACAACAAACAACAGGTTAAAGTAATGCACATTTATTTTCCCACAATTTCTGTGAGCCAGAATCCATTCACAACTTAATGTGTTCCTCTACTTGGGATGTCATCCTATCACATTTTCTACATAACATAACCCCATTAAGGACAACACGTCACCTTCACCATATTACTGATTAGAAGCAAGTCACATTTCCTGTTAACTTTCAAGGCAGGAGATTACCCAGGGGTCACCTTGGAGTGTATCTCTTGGTTCCCTCTCTGGATTCTTGGTTCTCCTGAGTCATCCTTCTTTGCAGTAGCACTTGTTTGCAGCTTAGCAGTTTATCCACCTGCTTCCTGCCAAAGGAAACTGGGGAGCCCCACAGCCTCCCCGTTTGTACTGTCGACAATTAAGTCCAGGCAGAAGTATGTCTTCAAAACTGTGTGACAGTCCTAACCGGTTTGGCTCAGTGGATAGAGCATCAGCCTGCGGACTGAAGGGTCCCAGGTTTGATTCTGGTCAAGGGCATGTACCTGGGTTGCGGGCACAACCCCAGTGGGGAGTGTGCAGGAGGCAGCTGATCGATGTTTCTCTCTCATCGATGTTTCTGACTCTCTATCCCTCTCCCTTCCTCTCTGTAAAAATCAATAAAATATATTTAAAACAAAACAAACAAAACAAAAAACTGTGTGACTTCTGTGGATTTTTTGAAATTCACTCTATTGGACAAAAGCCACATTTATTAATATGTTCGAGGCCATCACTTCTCTATGTTGATCATGCTGAGAAGTCTGAGGGACAACAACTGAGAATTTTGGTGAGGCGCACCTTCAACCTCCTGAGAGGACTGGTGAGGTGATACTTCAGCCTCCTGAGAGGACTAGTGAGGAGCACATTAAATCTGAGAGGACTGGTCAGGCACACCTTCAAACTGAGAAGTTAATGAGGAACACCTTCAATATCCTGGGAAAACTTG